ATTGGGGGGGGGGGGGGGGGAAGGAGTTCCAGCATTTCGAAAATGCTATTAGCGGTTTTTTTGTCATTTTATCCTTGTTTTACATTTAATAAACAATATAAATGGAATGATTTAATAATATCATTCCGAACACTGCCCTGCAGATTACTCACGATCAGTTCATTGAATGTATCATATATACATGACGCTATATTGTTTTATTTCTTTTCATGCACTTTTTACTCATATAGCATCGATTTTTATTACTATTGTATCTATTTGTATATATATTGTAAATACATATAGAAATATGCAAAAAAATGATTATATCACATTTTAATAATATATTAGATTATTATATTGATATATTCCTGATATAGAAATGATATATTCAAAATTGCTGATATAGAATTGTACTATGTTATTTATCATTACAAATAATATTACACGTAATATTTCTGATATTTGTATAATAGTACATCTACATCTACATCTATATCTAAGTTACATGTTATAGTTTGCTGGATTGATATATATCAGTATGTGTATATAAATATAAAAATTTATATTTGTTTTTTCAAAATAAATGTTATTGTAATTTGTTTCTAAATAAAGATTTAAGGAAAATGACAGCTACTAAAGTTCTTCCGTATACTTCTATTGGATTGGTAAGACGCTAGATTTTATAAAGAAATTTAATCAATTTATTTTATCCATGCTACCGTTTTACAAGAATTTTTTGTATACTATACTCGTACTTTTTAAGAAACGTTATTTCTTATGCGCGCGCGCGTGTGTGTGTGTGTGTGTGTGTGTGTGTGTGTGTGTGTGATTGTAAAAATAAATTAATACATTTCCAATAACACATAAGTATATAAACAACGATCTCAGAAATCTTAATAATTGAAATATAATGTATAGATTTAGTCATAAATACATAAAACATCCCCATAAATTAATAATATAAGTTCTTTATTTAACGAAAAATAAATAAAAAGAGTTTTATTAAAAAACAATTTATTTATTTTAACAATTTTAATATTTTGTTATTTCTTTAGATTTTATTATTGCCTTTTCCTCCAAAAAATGCATTAAATTAAAGATATTTTATATTTTTTACCAAGATTGTGTATGGCAAAAATAAATTTATAAACTTGATTCTTTGAGGAATACGTTATAAAGTTATTTTAATATTGAGATGTTCTGTCATATTTTTCTTTTTTGTTTTTTTAACACTAAAAATATTTTATAAATCTTTGTATTATTCCGTAAAAATACATTGCACTATAAAAATATATACAAATCCATATAAATGTATCAAAGTTCATACATGACCTTTACTTCAAATATTTCATTTTTTTTTTTATAACATAAAAAGAGATTTGAAAATGAATTTGTAAATATAACTCTTGCACAATAAGACATATTGTAAGTAAAACAAAATGTTTTGAAATAAAATTTAAAACATAAATTTCAATAAGATGCCTATCTTAATTACATCATGCGAACATGAATTTCTCAATAAAAAAAAACTTTGAAACAAAATTTAACTTATATTAGTCTAATATTTCATGTCAAATCGTATTATATATCGTATTAATATTGTTACATTTCAGAAAGATGTCTGTAAAATTTGCTAGAGTAATAATCAAATATTTTCGCTGTAATAAATTACGTGTAATTTGTAAGAATCACTTGTAGATCGTTCTTGATACAACAAGTAAGCCAAATTCATCTTCATTCATATTTGTAAAATATTATTATTTCGCGTTAATCTATTTTCATTGCATTGCAGACATATTGACAGAATAATGCTAAAAGGAAGATTTTTTTCTTCTAAAAATTGAAAGAATGTCTCGTTATTTAGTACGATATTTAATTATCTACATCTATGTCACAAGAATTTAATCTGTTCTCTAATAAACTATTCTTGAAAGAACTTTGATAAATCATTCTTCTATTCTCACAGTTACAGTTCTATAGCTAGAAAAACTCCGCAAGTTTTTTAATTGGATTTATGATTCATGCTTTTTGTTGGAAATTGCGTTGCCATTAACACTAACAGAGCCATTAATAGCGCCATTAGTCTTCGATATTTGTCCCACTTTTGAATTCAAATAATTATTCACATAAAATGATCCAAACATATAAGTGAACAAGCCAGCATTGATCATAAGTAGAAATGACAATGGCTTGGGGAAATTACAGCTAGTAAATTGCATTTGAAAATTGTGGAAAAATATTATGATAAACTGTACAATCTGCAAGATAGTCAGGTATTTTTTCCACCAAAGATACTTCTGCATATACGGCCCGAAGGCGGCCAACATGTAGTAGGTGTACATAAAGATATGGACGAAAGAGTTAATGATACCAAGTAGAGTTGGGTGACCACCGGCAACAAACTTCACACCGATCCAGGCACAGAATGGCATCAGTGAATGATGGAAAAGATGCAGGAACGTGATCTGCCGATCTTTTTTGCGCAGAACAAAGAACACTGTGTCCAGTAGTTCAATCAATTTGCACAGAAAGTACAGATAAACGCCATTGGCCATCTACAAGAGCATAATTAAATAAAGATCAAACAGATATTATTAATAATATGAATTAATGATACATTGTAATTATCAAGCCAAACAACATTTTCTTCTGGCAGAACGGAATGTTCTTTCATTTAAAGCGGACTTGAAATCTATACTGAATTCGAGTTGTCGTGAGACTAGTTATCGCAATAATGGGTGCAATGGTAGGAACCCGTCGCGTCAAAAATATGAATCTCTCAATATATATGAATCAAAATTTTCCTATACAGTATAGAATATCGGCCAAGTAGCAAATATATGTATTGCGTATTAGATCTTTATGTGTAACATTATCGTGATATTGGAGCAGCAATAAAAACATCCGTTTTGAGAAAACTTGCAATGTAACATATCATAGTGTATTAATGCAACGTCATGACATACATGCAGCAATATCACATATTAGGTGTCTACAAATAATTTTAATATACAAATATGAGAGGAAAGGGAAATATTTTTTACACTATAATTTGTAAAATTGCAATATTACTGCAATATCTCTAAACTATTTCATAATGTATATAAATTACTATTATTATTATTTCCGTGCTTTGTAAATTATTATTATTATAGAGTTATTATATTAATAACGTGTTTCAAACTCACCCTCACTGAACTTGGTTTATATGAATAATCGACAGGTTGACAAATAAAATTATATTCGTACAACCAACCAGCCATCAAACCTTCATAAACAAGGTAAAGGCTTATAAGAACTTGGATAAAATTATAAATTATCAGAATACTTCTTAAATCGTACGGCTTCTTATCCTTCATATATCTCGGTCCGGCGGAAACGCAAAAATATATATATGTCGCTGTGATCGTTAAAATTGGACCAGGACTAGGTACCAGAAACCATTCTTGTGTTCTTGGATCTATAAGCGTTTTAATGTATAATGTAACTATAACATAATGTAATGTAATTTAATATAATGTTAACATGTAATATTATTTTTCACAAATGTAATTTTGTTATAAAATCACCATATTTGTTGTCAATCACATCTCTATACCACTCCACAATGTATGACATCTCGTAGTCTGTAAATCTGCAAAAATGCATTATAAATTAATTTTAAAATGTCAACGTCTCATTTCTCAAAAATAAATGTTATATTTCTGTGGAAATTTTAAATATATTTTTCTTCTACAACTACTTGCGTACTGATTACTGTATATTTTGAAATATAATCCTAAATGGAAACTGAAATAATAATATTAGAAACTAAATTAATATGCAATTTAATAATAATAAGTTTAAAACACTGTAAAAACTTTATTACAGTATTCTTTGCAGTATTTTAAGATATTTATGAATATTACGTATCAAATTACGTATCAATTTAATTTGTAATATTACTGTTTCTACTTTCGTATAAAACTGCGTTTTAAAGAAAATAATAATATGCAATCAAAATGCAAATATTTTTTTTTTTAAATTTAAGCTACAGAAGAATTTCTTTTAATGACATTCTAATAACAATTTAGAAGTACTAAAATATAAAAGTTTAATTTTATAACAATAATAATGATAAAAATATTTATATGGTCTTTTTTTTTATAGAGATTTATAATAAATGTACAATAAAAAAGAAAAACTAATGGAAAAAACATTTAATATCTTCATGAAAATTTCATTTAATTATCTTATTAATTTAAATTTATAAATCATACATAAATTAAAAATTATGAGTTCAAAGAAGCTTATAAGAAGAAAAGACTAGATTATTCTATAAACGGTTGCAACATTGTACTGCAAGCTGTTGCAGTTACTCACATTTAAAAAATAAATGACTATGAAAGTGCTATGCATTGTTATGTCTTGTCTTTCCTCGACTGTCCTTGGTAGTCCTAATGACAATATAAATTACGCGAGGGGTAAAAGGATGGAAACTTGTTTGCGCCTTTTCCTAAATTACAATGGGCAATTGCAACGGCCATAAGATACGTATACGTGTATGCAATTTTAATTAGCATTCAACGAGCAATTTACGTAAGATATAATTTATTTTAAATGTCTGAAATTTTATAAATAGACCAAAAAGCCTTCTCCTTTAACATTAATTACATTTCATTATATATTTTTTATAATTAATTACATTGCTGTTCATAATTATATATTTTAATTTCTTTTTAGAATGATTAATTATATTATTTCTTAGAAATAACGTTTAAACTTTTAAAAGTTGCTGATAAAGACGTTTAAAGAAGTTTAAATTTAATTCACGTATTTTAGATATGACATTATTTAAAAGAAAATTATCAGGTAAATTAGACAGTATGTATTTTATAATGTTATTATAAAAGTTTTATTCGCGGCGCAATGATACTAATAAACGAATATTTAGCAAAAATATAAGAATTAATTTTCTATATCATTGTAATGTAAATTGTTTCTTTTTCAATCTTTATAGATATAGAAAGCCTATAGCTGAAACAATGTTATTTTGAGGCAAGAATTATAATGAAATAAAGTATTACATTGAAAAAAAATTCACGAAATTTGATTAAATACAATATAAATTCACGAAATTTATTTAGATTGTACTCTAATAGGACTATTTACTTAGTAAATATTTGTTCAATTTAAAAAAATTATACTTAAATTTAAATATTATTTTTTTAAATCAAATAAATATGTATTTTTTGTAAGCAAATAGTCTTATGATATTATGTAAACAAATATTTATTCAAATTTCGTAAATTTTTGTTCAGTGTATAACAATCAAAAGTATTATAAATATCTTAATCAAGAAAAAATTCTGTAAGTTTTTATAAATAGTCGTCTACTAAAGATTTAATTAATGTCATGTAACTTTCTTGTGGTAACTGTTTAATATTTTGTCATCTATCGAATAATTTTTCATAATTTTATAAAGGAATACATCAAGTAATAAATACATAGGACCAGAACTTACAAAATTTGCGACACAACGTTATTGCGACACAATGTTATGTGCGATATTTTAAAAAATTTTGAGTTTGTATCTATTGTCGGGTCAAAGATATCTAAGTTAAGTTTGTATCAAGGTAAACAAGATTACTATAATAGTTATATAGTAGTTATATAGTAATAAGTTATATAGTAATAAAATTACTATATAACTGCAGCAAAACTAATAATATTCAAAGAATTGAATAAATGAAAAGTACTATGTACGCAAGATCTTTTTAGTAGAAATTATATTTAAGTTTTCTTACATATGTGATCATAAACGTTTCGGACTTAATTAGTCTTCAGTATATTGATTGCATTGATTACAAAATTGATTTTACAGATACATAACAATTTTCTATCTATGTAGATGAAGAATGTTTGCGCTACGGTTCTTCTTATTTATAATGTAGTACATAAGTTTGTAAATTTAATCCATCCACTAAATCCGTAATATAGAATATAAATTAAAAAAGTTACCTGTGTAAATCGATGTATTAATCCAGGAATATAAATTTATTTTATTTTCAATAGAGATAGATTAAACGATGATAAAGCCGTCCTGACAAAGATTGAGAGAGAGGTAATCTTTGTGGAACAATATATGTTTTGTACGAAGTAGGGAGCCGTAGGAGAGGGAAATAGTATAGTATTAAGTGGGAGAATTTCTCTCTAAAATGGGGATATATATATATATAT